CTAGCCAGGGTGAGAGTACAGCACCAGTTTCCAGTGGCCACCAAGTCTATCCAAATGCATGGTGACCTTACATGTGTCAGAATAGAACAGTGCCCCACAGGTTTTCAGTGCTGATCTTTTTTAAAGCAGATCACCAGGCCTTTCTTCTGAGGTGCCTCTGGATGGACTCTAACCTGTAACCTTTCTGTTAGCAGCCAAGCACATTCACTATTTGCACCACCTAGAATACTTTCATGAAATTAAGGGCTTTGTTTTCATTCACTGCTGTATCCCCAGTGCCTACAACAGTAGTTGGTACATAAGAGATGTTGTTGTTATGTGCCATCGAGTCGGTTCCGACCCATAGCAACCCTGTATAGGGTTTCCGAGGGTGTAAATCTTTATGGGAGTAGAAAGCCTCATCTTTCTCCCGCGGAGCAGCTGGTAGTTTCGAACCACTGACCTTAAGGTTCGCAGCCCGATTCGTAACCACTACGCTACCAGAGCTCCTTAATAAGAGTATTAATAATACTCAATAAATATTAGCTAAGTGAAGAGGAGATGGGGGCGGGTGCATGGTGAAGATGTTCAGAGTACTGATGAGGAAGATAAGAGGGCAGCTGCTTATTTGAAGACTGGTTAGGTAAGGCTCTGCTATAGACAAGTGGTCCATAATTGGCTGTGGGAAAGTCCTTTCTTCTCAAAGAAATCTAGAACTGAGGTAATTTGTGGAATATGAAATGATTCAACATCCAGTGGCCAGAAGCTGTGCTAATGAGCTGGCTGGGAATGAAGATACTGTTTTGGATATGCAACAGGCTGGGTCTGCCCAGGTCTGCCTAGGCTTAGTGCTAGCATGTGCACAGACAGATCACCATGGTGGGAAGAGCACTGAACCTGGGGCCAAGAGACCCAGCTTTTAGCCCCAGTTCCATCTCTTAGTAGCAATGTGACCTTGAAGAATCGCATTCACTCTTTGGGTCTGTTGCTAAAAGTTAGATGTCATCCTATCACCTAGCTGATCTATATCACAGGGCTGTTATAATGAGTTCATGAAACAATATGTATATAGAAAAGCACCACATAAGCATCACATGGAGATGTGCAAAACAAATGTGAGCTTCTGGGCAGTGCTTGGTTCATTGCATGCATACAATGTTTGCTGAACAAATAAATGTCTAAAAGTATTCCAATCCCAACTTGCACAAGAACTCAAGAGCAGAAATGAGAACAAGTCTAGATCTTGTATGTGGACATTTATCTGCCTAGTGACAACTTAAGGTAAAACAACCATTAATACCTGAATTTTTAGAGCCTTAATGCTAGGTAGAAGGAGCTCTGGTAGCATAGTGGTTATAAATCGGACTGCGAACCTTAACGTCGGTCAGCAGTTCAAAACTACCAGCTGTTCCGCAGGAAAAAGATGAGACTTTCTGCTCCCGTAAAGCCTTACAGCCTTGGAAACCCTGTACAGGGTCGCTATGAGTCGCAACTGACTCCATGGCACATAATCACCAACAACCACATATGACTCTCTTCTTATACAGAGAGAAGAGACGCACAGAGGGAAGATAGCTGTGTGAAGACAGACAGAGACTGATGTGATGCAGCCATAGTTTGAGGAATGAGTGGGGTCTGCATTAGCTGAGATGGTCAAGGAGCATCCCCTAGAGCCTTCAGAGAGAGCATGGCCCTGCTGACACCCTGCACTCAGACTTCTAAAGAGCTCTGAGGTAATCAATTTCTAGTGTTTAAAGCCTTCCAGTTTGTGGTTCTTTATTACAGCAGCCACAGGAAGCTAATATAACCACCACACCTCACAGGTACCCAGTGTAACTAGTCATCCAAAAGGTCACCCAGTCTCATTTCCATATCACTGAGGCTCTCCTCTCTTTCACCCCTTCTACCCCTTCATTTCTTGGCCCTTGAGGGCTCTATCCACTCCCAAGATTTCAACCTCAATGATAAATTCCAAAGTTCTACCCTAGCCCAGTCCTTTATTCCACGTCTGTTGGTTTTCTCTGAGTGGATACTTCCCAAAGGTACCTAGAATTCAACCAGTCTGAGGGCACTCGCTCCACTGCAGACTTTCATTGCAACTCTCCTTCCCCTGCAGCCCTCTTAAGTCCAAGCTACTCTCTTATCCTTCCTCTCACATTTTATCAGTCTGGAGGCAGGACCTGCTCACCACTGTCCTCAGTGCTACCTGGGCAGCATCATACCTTCCCTACTAAGGTCCCTGCCATCATGATCTACCACCCTCTGTTCACCAGTCATCAAATCTACCAGTGCCCTCCCTTCTGACCACTCTCTGATTGCTAATCCCCCAACACACTGGCCTCTGTGCCTAGGCAACCTGTAATCAACAGTCAGGGGATCCTAGTGTTACACAGACAACCCACCCAACAACTAACTGCCTAGCTCTTGCCTTCTCAAATTAAATGTCTCTCAATTCATTCCATGCTAGCCACTCTCCTATGGGTACATTCAGATCCAAAATCTTAAAACTCCAATGGCCTCAGTCTCTTTCCTCTTTACAGCCAATGTGCCTGCTCCCCAACCCCTTAGCACTCTTGGTTTTTTTCTCAGCACATATCAGTATTCTGCTAACTCCACCACCTTCTCTGTCAGCCAGCCAACATTGCAAGACCAAAACCTTTGAACACTCTCTGGCTCAGACCCCCAACTCATACATCACCCTTGCCTTATAACAGCTACTCAATAAACCCCCAATCCCAGTCCTTCAGCTCTGCTCCTACCCTCCGGCTACAGGAAGGGAAGATCACTTGAGGAGCAATAAATCACAGCCACTGGGGATGCTGCCAATACAAATTCTGAACATCCCATCTCAGCTGGTGCCTTTGCTACACCAGGCAAGTCACCCAGGTCTTCCCACTCAGAGAATCACTCTGATCTGAGTCAAACCTTTAGTGTCCTCCTCAAGTCAGTCCTGTCCCTTCCCCCCATGACCCTCCACAAGCAGCCTCATCTTTTTGTTCCCACAGAAAATGAGTACCAAGTGGGAACTCCTGTCTGTCTCCCACTGCCACCTAACCTGTGCCTTTTCCAGCCACACTGCTCACTCTCATCTCAGTGGAAGAGGAGATTCTCTTCCTGACCATCAGCAATGCTGCCCTGGGATCTCATCCCTTCTTATCTGCTCACCAGCTCATGACAATGAGAATGTCTCTCCCTCATCAGTGTCTTAAGTGTTGTCCTTCCACATGGCCCTCTCCTGTCAGCACAGAGATAGCTCCGCTTTCTCCCAGCAGAAACCACACTGTTTCAGATCGACATTCTCCCTTCTTCCCAGTCCAACCACATATTCCGACTCCACTCACACCTACTCCTCAATCCACTGAAACTGGTTCCTTGCCACCCACACCAGTGATTTCCACAACTTGGTATTGACTCTCTTCATTTCCAAATCCAGATCTTAACCTGTTCTTCTGCCACATTTCACACTGCTGACTACTCCCCCTTCTTCAAATTCCCTTCACTTTTTTTGCTTTAGGGTCATCTTTCTCCACGTTTGCTCCTCTTTGGTTGCTCTCTCTCAGGCCCCTTGTGCTTTCCTGTCCCTTGCATGTTGGAGCTGCCCTTACCCCTTAAAGGACATCATCCATACCCATAATTTCAACCTCAATGCTGATTCCCCAAAACACTAGATCAAGTCTAGTTCTCTCTCATAAATCCAACTGCTAGTTGATCCTCTCAGTTAGCACCTCCCAAAGGCACCTGGAACTCAATGTTTACAAAATCGAATTCATCCCAAAACTTACTTCTTCTCCCATGTTTCTATAATTGAGAGAACATTCATTCCTACCCCTAAAGTTGCTAAGACAGAAGCCCTAGAATCATCGCTATTCCTTCCCTTCCTTTGTCTTCTACTTCTAACTCATTACCTATTGATTATACTGTTGATTCTAACGTCTAAATGTCTTTTGAATTTTCCCCCTTTCTATCCTGTCACTGTCTAGACAACTACATAGCTCCAAAAATGGTTTCCTTGACTCCCGTCCCACCTTTTACTTTATTGTCTACTGAGATCCAAAGAGACTGCGCCGTGCCCCCCACCCCACCCCCATTCAAATTTCTGCTCGTCACCCTTCAATAGCTTCATGCTGTCCCCAGACACAAAATGGCAGGGCCTTTGGTGATCTGGTCTCTACTTACCTGCTAGTCCCCAGAAACACTGTGATGCAACCACAATGAGCTCCCCTCTTCACTACCCCCGCACTCTACTCCATGAATCATCTTAATGGTTTCCTCTAGAAGATCTTCCAAGTCCTCCTCCCCGCTTCCTCTACACGCTCTACTCAAGCTCCCACAGCAGTTACGTAGTCTTTACCCTCTGCTCTGTCATTGATTGTCCATTTGCTCATCTCTCTCCCTCTCTAGACAGTGGTTAGCCCAGCTCATACAGTCTTGTAACAATAACTGCTCGATAAATATTTGCTATATAAATAAAAGGAGTCCCGATGTGGCACTGTCGAATAAGCACGGAACTACTAACTGTAGGATCAGAAGTTCAAACCCACCAGTTGCTCCTCGAAAACCCTATAGAGGGTCACTATGACTCAATGGCACTTAACAACAATTATGAATAAAAGAATGAATAAATACATACATTAAACTGGCCTTTCTCCTTTCCAAACAGCCCTTCATGGGTTCCTTCCCTAACTACTTTAGTTACAACAAAAACAATACTGCACCAGCATCTGTTCCCAGTATCTTACATCTATTAACACAGTTGATCCTCCAACAACCCTACTATTATTATTCCCACTTCTCCAACTGGGGAAACTGAGGCACAAAGAGGTTAAATAACTTGTCCAGCTAGTGGCAGAATTAGGATTGGGTTCTAGTTTTGCTCTTAAACACACTATATTCTTCACAGCATGTGTAAGGAAAACAGATCAAGATTATCACTGTTCTGAGCAAAATATAATTTTGAAAACAGACCCCCAAACAAAACAAATAGTTGCCCACCCAGCCAGCTCTCCTCTTGCCTGCCTCACCTTGTCCGCAATGCCCTCAGCCTCCTCAGCCAAGAGGTACACATTGCCACTGTCAGCCAGCAGCAGGGCTGTGTCCGTGGTGGAAGAGGAGCGAGGGCGGCCCTGGTGCTGATGTAGAATGGCGGCCAGGCTGCTGTCCTGGGGGGCCTTACGCAGCAGGTGGGGACTGCCACGCTGGGGCTCCAGGGAGCTGCTCTTGGTGCGCCGGCTGCTGCCCCCACTGCTGCCGCCCCCACTGCTGCTGTGCAGGCTGGCGCCCCGCTTGATGGAGGGCCGGGAGCGGATCTGCTGGAGCACACGGTTGAAGGCGGTGGGCCGGGCGGGCAGGTCGTGCAGGGACATGGCGTAAGAGACGCGGTGCATCTCTGGGGAACGTTCCTTCTCATCAGGGGAGTCATGGTCGGACATGCCCAGGTGATGCTGCAGCTGCTGGCTCTCCTGAGATGCCTGGTGCTCCCTCTCCCGCGACCGGCGGCGGCTGTGGAATAGGTGCTTCAGGCCGTGGCCAAACATGGAGCCTTCTGAGAGCTGCTGGATTTTCTGAAGGGGGAGACAAAGAGATGAACGAACTCTGGTGAGTGGAAGGGTCTTGAAGGGGATCTGTCCTTGGGAGACCAGCATAGTTACAGCAGCCGTCTGAAGCCAGACAATCGCTATAAATGGCCTGTTAAGACTAAAATTTGGTACCTTGCAAAAAGTAACAACTTACCTCTTTCTTTCCCAAAGAAACATAGCCCTTGACTCTCAACAGGGCATTCCAAATCAATATGTAGCTTCAGGGTTACTGGGAGTGATATGTTTATGACTACAGTTTGGGGTTCAGTGGCATACATCAGTAGCACTTGGGTTTTAGTCTTCTAGATAGATTCTTCCCCAGGAGTCTCTTTGTAAGTGAGGCTCTCCTTCAGGACATATTGGCTCCTTTAGATTAAGCTATTCGTTTCCAAAGATGTCTCACTACGACATTCCCTTGGGGAAATCAGGATCATACAATATGTACTGTTGTTGCTGTTAGTAAGTGTTGTGGAGTTGGTTCTGACTCATAGTGACCCTGTATAGGGTTTCCGAGGAGCAACTAATGAGTTTGAACTACTGGCCTTACAGTCCAATGCTTACCCTACAGCACCACAACACTAACTGCCTACCTATTCTATTTACCTTTCTTTCCTGTTAACCAAACTGTAAGGCCTTACTGTACCTTGCCAAAAATTCTTGCTTCACTAGGCTCCCTTTCAATTAGGAGTAGTAGTATAAAGTTTTGATCAGTGAAAAGCAAGGTGAGGGTTTCTGGGAACACTTGCTTTCCTAATAAAGGCACTAGCCCATCCGACTTCTTGGTGTCTAGAATGTGGGCTTAATGCCTGGAGATGCAGCAGCCATTCTGTAATCACAAGGTGACTGACCTGGCTAACTCCACATATAGAGATACCCCAAAGGACTGGCCGAGGAACTTGGTAGTCTTGTACAGTCGTCACACAAGCCAGGAACTGCCTATCCTGAGAGTCTTGTTGCATTAAATAAATAAATGTATCTCTATCTAAGGGGGCATAATAGTTTAGTGGTATAATTTTCATATTCCATGCAAGAGACACAGTTTAATTCCTAGCCAGTGTACCTCAAGTGCAGCCACCATTCATGTTGGTAGAGGCTTGTGTGTTGCTATGATGAACAAGTTTCAGTGGAGTTTACAGATTAAGAAGGACCAGGAAGAAAGGCCTGGAGATCTACTCCCAAAAACTAGCCAATGAAAATACTACGGATCACAATGGTGCAATCTATAACGGATCCTGGGGCCAGCACAGGATCAGACAGCATTCTGTTGTGCATGGCGAGTCCACTGGGCATGGATCAGGGGCCAACTTGATGGCAGCCAATAACAGCTCATAGCGACTCTATAGGACAAAGGAGAATTGCCCTACATAGGGTTTCCTAGGCAGAAAACATTATGGGAGCGAATCACCAAGTCTTTTCTTCCATGGAACTAGCTGGTGGGTTCAAATTGCCAACCTTTTGGTTAGCAACCAAGTGATGAAGTTTTGTGCCACTAATGTTATGAGTTGGCACACAACAGTAACCGTGTGGTCTATACGACTCTAGTACGAATTTCTGACACAGGTAACAAGACAAGCTTGGCTTCTGTGGGCATACCTTGTAGCACAGGTGATCACGTAACCAATTCTGTAGCATACATGTCAAAACTAGTCATGCTAATGAGTATCTTTCTGCTCAGTTTAGGACAATGCAAAGTGGCCCTGGAGCCTCATGTTGCCCTGGCCCAGCCCTGTCAGCACTGTTGATGAGATGTTCCACATGTTCCTCAGACAGGACAGCTCAAAGAGAAGCGGCCAGAAGTTCCAACCAGGGTGAAGGAACATGTGGTCTAAGTCCAGACAGCCATTCTGTCAAGTGGAGGGCTTATCTGTCCAAGCCAAACCCTTTGCAGGAACTCAAAGTGGTTAGGCGGAGGGCATGGGGCTTAGAGGATCTAAGAACCCATCCTCTGTAACTCCTCAAAGGGAAACTCAGAACCTGGCAATTTGGGGCTTGATGAGCCAGTGCAGGTCTTCATTTGTGAGGAACAAGCTGTCATCTCATGAGGTGACCTCAGTCATTTTTTAAAATTATAAATTTTATATTTTCCTTTTTTCTAGAAACAAGGTTTTAGAACAGAAAACACAAAGACCATGCAGAAACCAAGAAAAAACAATCCTCAGCCTCTAGACTATCTTAGCCTGCTCTCACTGTTAACTGGCACCTCAGCATGGGTGGTTTGTATAGATTTACATCTGGATGTAAATCAAGTATATACCAGGGGCCACTGAGTCAACTCCGACTCATGATGACCCCATGTGTGTCAGAGTACAACTGTGCTCTACAAGATTCTCAGTGGATGACTTTTTTTTTAGAAGTAGATCCCCCCCCATGTATTTATGTACAAAGTTAGGATTTTCAGTCTTCATCTCACTTGACTCTACCTAAAATCCTCAAAAGCACATAGGGCTCTTACATCACCCATTTTACAGACTAGGAAGGTTCCCCCATCACTCTGGGACAGATCTGGGGACATCTGGCTCAAACCCACCCTAAGGCAGGACCTTCAGAGCCAGCCTGAGACAGGACCATGAAGCCTGTCTGAATCTTCTGTGGGTAGAACCAAGGCACTCAGGCAACTCCAATTTGGAAGCACACTCCACCATGAACTTGAACCTGACCAGATCCCATAGACCTCCAGACCAGGGGTAAGTGAGGACACAGTTCTTTCTTCCAGCTCCAAGCTGATACAAGCCCTCCCTCCAAGTATCATAGATGGGGTCAGCTGGCTCTGGAATTTTCCAAGCTGCTTCTGCCAAATGGTGATAATGCATATTACAAATTGTCTTTCTAGCATTCTATCCTTTCTTCCCCTCCCTTCCCCTCCCCCTAAGCGGGCTTTTCAAACACTGCAGCATTTCTTCTACACCCACTCAGGTAGAGTTACCCTTCAAAGAGAATTCACCAGAAGGCCTGGGCTATAAAGCCTTTCCTTTCCCTCACCCCTGGAGATAAGGATACCAGGTGCTAAGAGAGGAACAGCAGTTACTGTACTGTCTGCCATCCTGCCTTGGATTCTAAAATCTTTGGTCAGTTTATTTTTAAAGTACACAACAATATTTTTTTAAAGTGTTTTCTAATTTATGTTGTCAATCTACCTTAAGTTTAGCCTAACTTTAGAACGTAAGGTGGGATAGATCCTAATATCACTATCACCATTTTTCAGATGAAGAAACTGAGGCACACAGTACAGCTGAATGAACCAGCTAATCCACTAAGACTAACCCCAGTCTAATTAACCATGCTTCAAATTCACCAGGTGCTCCTTGGAAATCCTACACTGGGCCACTATGAGTTGGAACCTACTCCATGGGACTTCACAAGAACAGTCCATCACTGGAGTCCTGGTGTGGCACTGAGGGTCAATGCGCTAAACTGTCAAATCAGTTTGAACCGCAAGGTCGAAGGTTCAGCTGCTCCTTGGAAACCCTATACAGGGTCATTATGGTTGAGAACCAACGGTACTTAACAACCACATCAGTCCATGTACTGACTCTAAGACTAAACTACCAGTTGCTGTCAAGTCAAGATCAACTCATGGGGAGCCCATGTGTATCTGAGTTTTCAAAGATTCAGTTTTGGGAAACACATTGCCAAGAACCTCTGAGTGGACCTGAACCTCCAGCCTTTTGGTCATTAGTCAAGCACATTAATTGACTGCACACCCAGAGACTCTGAGACTAGATATAGTATTTACATTTTGCCCCCAAACAGTAAGTAACAAAAGCTAGATTAAAAAAATAATAAAAATGCCTGGGCCTGGAGGAGTTAGGTCCCCTGAACTGTAGTCATGGATCTGGGCAAGACCCTTAACCACTGTGGGTCTTCATTTCCCTCCTATTCATTTGATCTACAGGTAAAGGGAAGTCAGGCAACCACAAGACCTTCTTCCCAGCAGCACTAAGGAGTCTGCTACAGTCCAAGGGAAAGAAAGAACAAAAAGGAGTCAGAGATAGGAGGAAGAAAGGGAAGGTCTAGCTAATTGCCTCCTTCGCCATGAGTCCAGAACTAGATTTTACTGGACTACCATTACTGAATGATTTCATTAAAAATATTCTATAAGAGAATCCAATCAAAAGGGAGGAAAGCAAAACAGAATTTCAAATTCTCATTGAATCCAGACTTTCTGGAGCCAGTGCAACTGGACGAGCTTCTAAAACTACTGCCTGAGATATTCTTAAACTTTATACCAAAAATATCCTCTGAAGTAGTTTTTAAACCAGACAAGAGTTTAATGTCTTTAGTCAAGAATGCCTGCCTTATGAAACAAAATATGGTTTGTTGAATGTAAACCTGGTCATCTGCCTGGTAAACTTTCACTCAAGTCACAGTAAAAACTTAAAAAGGAAAAAAAAAAGTCTGCCTAATTAAGCACTAGCTGTATACGATCAAAATGACAGCAGCCACTTGCAACGTGGCTGTGAGTTTATATTCATCAGGAAGGGACAATGACTAAGTGGCTTGGGGAAATGTAGTCAAGATTACTGACTTGCCCATGCAGAAATCGTTGAGTTGGTATATGTTCTGTGCATATTTTCAACAACAACAAAAATAAATTTGAAAATTTAAGTCAAAGAATAACATGGGTTGGGAGTGCTCCAAAGGCACTCACAAGTGTAAGGCAGGAATAGTAGGGTGACACACTGGGGCTGGGCTGTTCTGTATGTGGGTGTTTGGGAGGAGATGGTTCAGGAGTTTTGACATAACATAGTTAAGTGTTTGAAAAAAAAAAAAATTAAAACCTCAGCACATGCACAGAACCAGCTACAAGTTTTGGAAGTGAGGAAAACCATGGTGATAAGTTTGAGGGAACTTAGCCGCCAACGCAGCAGAAAGCACCACCTGCTCTGACTAACAGGTTCCAGCTACTAAATGTCATTCGATTTTCCACATTGACTTTTCCCCAACTGCTAGAAATCAGTTTGGTGGTCATGCACTAGGAAAAGAGA